AACCTGATTCCCTTTTAGCCAGGGATATGTAGGAAACCTTTGAAGCAAAGGTTCGGTTAAATCTTTTCAAAAATGCTTCGCACGGAGTATTCCAACGAGCAAAAATCGCTCATATCCGCTCACTTTATCTTTGCACGAAAACTCTTTGTTTTTTCGGACAAAGAGGGGCAGCTATGAGCACGTGATTTTTGCCCTATGAGAATTACCCCCAAAAAATTCAAAATAAAATTGTTTGGTGTTGTTTGTGATTTATTTGTATTTTTGTCTGTGCATGTTTATTTCTACTTTAATTAAGAAAAATACAAAAATATGTGTTGCATGCACATTTAAGATTTAATTGTGCACTTAGGAATTAATTGAACCATGTTTTGTTTTTAAGAGAAAGAAAATCACAAAATAATGTATTTTCTGCATTTTTAGCATTTCATGTCCAAGTTATGTCATTTTTATTTGATTGTGTGTGTTAATTGTTATTAAAAAAGTTAGTAGTACTTTTGTAAATTAATCTAGTCCTATAAGCTAATTTAGGATTTTGGAGTTTTTAGTTTTATTAGTTTAAGAAAAGAAAGACAAAATAAAGGAGTGTTAAGTCATATTTGGGTCAAATCAATTTAAAGTCCAAAGAATTTTTTCCCCTCGAAACCCGGATACCCAGCCCAAAGAACCAAACCCCCACTCGGTCGACCCGACCCGGTCCACCCCATAACCCAAACACCCCCCTTCTTCCATTTTTCATTTTTCTCATTTTTTCAACCCCAAAACCCTAAACCACCCGCCCCCTCTCCTCTTCATCTTCTCCAAACCACCCTCCCTTTTCCCCTCACCTCCATGGCAGCCCTTCCTCTTCTTCTTCTTCGAACAACCAACCCACATGGCTGCCCTCCTTCCCCCTCACCACCATCTACCCCTAGTTGTCCCCTCTTTCTTCGTCTTCGTCAAAACGACCACCCCCCCATGGCAACCCTCCAGTCGCGAGCTCCAGCCAGTACACCATAGCCGCTGCTTCTTCTTCTTTAGTCACTGCTCAACAGCCTCCTCACGTCCACCACGACCACGTCGTCACCACCCCATCTTCGCCTCACGACCAGCAAGCCAACTCGACGCAAAGCTGACCAACGACCACCCTTCTCCATCGAGCAGCAGCGAGCAACAACATCTCCAACCTCCGTTGCAACTAGCTGTAAAACCAGCTCCAAGAACATGAAAATAGCAGTTCAAACCAGTTATTTTCAAGCACCAAACCAGCACCAACAGCCCAGCCTCCCTCGTCGTCGAAACCAAGCAACCAGTCTGCTTCTATTATCCCCATAACCACCACGCCTGAGCTTCATCATCAACTGCTTCACGTCTTCCTCACTTCGTTGTTTCACCCTCAGCCAAACCAGTCCGTCGACCACGCTGTCCGTCACACCCTCCGTTCCAGTCAGCTCACATTTGAACACTAGGTCACCAACAGTGGCACCATGAAGCTTTTCAAGATGTTAAAGACAGTGTTCGATCGGATGTTCGTCAAATGCTTCACTCTCGCGCCGAGGATCCATTTCTGGTCCCTCTTGAAGCGAATATGGTTCTTGTTGGTTTTTAATGGCAACGGGGGCTACAGGTGCGCATGAAGGGTTCTAAGTTAAATCGAACTCTTCTATTGGTTTTTTAAGGTTAGGTCTTGATTAAAGCTTTAATGACACTTCTTTGTTTGATTAGTCAATTTCATATTCTTGTACAAACAGTGACTATTAATATAAATGTTTGCTAGCATTTTTGGTTCAAATGGTTTCATTTTTGTGTATTGTTTGCTTCCCTGCTCTTGGTTGTTCATCATATTGTTTGGTTCCCTTCTCGTTCATGTTGTCTAAGTTAATTGTAATTTTGTTCCCAATAGAGTTAGTTTATTCCCTTGTATCTATGTGAATCAATTTCGACCTTACTAGTTTAATACAATGGTTCTGAATCATTGAATCCTATATCTTGGTTGTAATGTTGTTGGATTTAATTTGAAGTTCAATTGATGATTGAGTTTAGTGATTTGGATATACTTGTTTGTTCTGTTAAGTTTGTTCTGATATGAATCTGGTCTTGTTGAATTGACCTAATGTTGTTGATTGGGAGTTAGTTCCATGTGTTTTGATTAGTCAATTGCTAGGATTTCTCACTTAAGGTTGGTTATTGCTGCTATAGTTTGGTTAATTGATTTAGGAGGATTGGATATAGTTGATGGGGTAGAATGGTAATTTCAGTAGTTTCATGGGCATTTTCGGGATTTTAAATTTTAAAAAATGATTAATTTGAGTGCTCTGTCCACAAAATACTAATAATATTAAAATAATACATTGTTTAATACATAGTGGGGCACAAGACATGTGGTAGTGGGAATTAATACATTGTTTAATATAGTGGGGGACAAAGCATGCAGTAGTGAGGAATAAGGGAATTAAATAAAGAAAAGATATGTAGTAGTGGGAACTAATACATTTGTTTAATATAGTGGGGGATAAGGCATGCAAGTGTGGGGAACAAAACATAATGGTATGAAAAGTTTAAAAAGGATTGATTAAAATATGTTGCCCATACCTGTTTTTGGGTTATAAATCGGGTCATTTCAAGACAGAAAAACGGGTTGATTTTTGGAGGAAGAAAATCGTTTCTCTTCCAGTTTTTCTTAGAGTCTAGGCTAGATTTTTAACAAAAAAGTTCAGTAATTTGAGAGTAAAAAATAGGCTGGTTTTTAATCCAAAAGGTTCAGTGTTTGGAGAGCTAAGAAACTGAAAAGTGGGTCTCTTCTTTTACTGCTGAATATCATAACTAGTATTGTTGTTGTTTAGTCTTTTACAAACTTTTGGGGCTGTTCTATCGAGCTTGTTTGGTTTTCTTCAAATTTTTCTGAGCCTCGAATTTGGTTCGAATTGTTGTTGGGTTGCTGTTGTTTTGCTGTGTTACTACTGTTGCTGACTGCTCCTTCATCTTCTTGTATTTTCATTATCCAGGTACATGTTCTACAGCTCTCAAATTTAAAGGAAAGGAAGTAAAGAGTTGTTAGAATGGATTTCTAAAAATAACTATTTCTTTGTGTTTAATTTAATGTATAAGCAGTAATTCACTTGATATCGCATAGCATGTATTAGAATGACTTTGGAATGCATAAACTGGACTGTTGAATCTATTTCTACAAACATGTGAATATCAATTGCAATTAATCTTAGTTTGTGATTACTAGTTATGAAATATAGTGTAGTTAATTTTTTTTTTCATTAGTCGTGTAATAGTTTCAAATAGGTTATGCCACGAAACAGGTTCAAATAGTTCATGGAAATCAGCATGTTGGTTTAATACGGTTAGTTCTGAAATTNAGGTGACTTGGAACACCACAAATCTCCCAAGTGGCGACTCTGAATCTTTAAATAAAATCCCGTTTTGATTGTCCTTTAATTGGAAAAACTCCCTTCCGTGCCCCTTTGAGGCGGCGCGGGTGAAAAAGGAGGTGTGACAGGCACCAGTTAGTTGGAAGTCTACTTTGCAGTCAACAGTTGCTTTGTCTACAACAGAGGCAGAGTACATGGCTATTACAGAGGTTGTGAAGGAGGCAATTTGGCTTCAGGGGTTGCTAAAGGAGCTTGGTATTAGACAAAAAAGTATCACAATTTTTTGTGATAGTCAAAGTGCTATTCAATTAGCGAAGAACCAAGTTTATCATGCAAGGACAAAGCACATTGATGTTCGGTATCATTTCGTACGAGAAATCATAGAAGAAGGTGGAGTCACGGTGAAGAAAATTCATACTACAGAGAATCCTGCTGATATGCTGACAAAGGTGGTGACTGCGGTCAAGTTTCAACATTGTTTGGATTTGATCAACATTGTTGAACACTGAAGATTAAAGATGAAGACATAACCAAAATTTGTTATTGAGAGAAAATTGAAAATGTGGAATTTTGCCAAGGTGGAGATTTGTTGATTGTCAAAAGTCCCACATCGGTGGGTGACAATTTGGGTTTGAGAATTTTTTCCTATAAAAGGAGGCCTAATGTTTAGGATTTAAATACACCTCTCATTTGCTTTCTTATCTTCTTAAGGCATTTGTATCTTCTCTCTTTAGTATTATTTCACTTGTATTTTTGGAGTGGAATAAAATATTGGTTGTGTCTGAGGAAGTAGGCAAAATTGGCCGAACCTCGCAAATTCTGGTGTTCCTTTTATTGTTGCTTTATTGTCTTATTTATTATTTGATGGTTGTCATAATTTTTGATATAGTAGTTGTGACTCATTCACACTATATACATTTCGCTTCCGCAACAATGATAATCTCGAATCTGGTTTCCCAATTATTAAATTGAATTTTTTTTTGTTCAAAGTGCGAAACTATTAGCGATTAGGAATAATTTTACTATTTCAAGAACTTTTGACTAGGGATGGCAATAGGGCAGGGCGGGTGAGGGACGGGGCGGGGCAGGTTTAGATATATGTACCAACTTGTTTCTTATTTGCCATAGTGTATTTATGTGAAATTCTCTCCATAATATATTTATAATTTATGTATAATATATGTATAATTAATGTATAATTTCTTTTAGGGATCCAAATGGATTAAACTTGAGTAGGTTGAAAAAAGACAAACAGCCTTGACAGAATATATGACTCAATGTTATCAATTAAATAAAATAAACGGTAAATGTGACTATTTATACGAAGATCTCCACAATAAAGTAGGAGAAAGAAAACATTTCCCAAGGTGGCTTTTCACTTGGCATAGGTATTGGGGTTTAAGGAAAGTACAAGCCAGTCCTGTCCAGATAGAAAACACCAATTAGTAAGTCCATACCGAAGATCCGTTGGTCCCCACAAACCAGTAACGATAGACATAATATAATATGCAGAATTCCAAGAAACAATTTTTGTTCGTTCAATCCCCATTATTAGTTGTATGATACTATATTGAAGAGTTGTTTATTAACAATCATTATTTGTGATTTGGCCAAACAATATCCTTGATACAATATCTAAACTAACCCTTTTCTTGCAACTCATTTTTCTGGATTTTCTCCCTTCTGACTCGGGACCATATCCCTTTTCTCTCTCTCTCTCTGAAAAAGGAAACAACCATCTGTATTCTCTTACCACTATTTGTTACTATCATCATCTTTAATTTGCACACTGTGTATTTCCTTTCTATGGTAATATCATTATTCTCCACTTTATACACAAATTAAACACACATTTCTGAAGTTAAATGGCATGCAAGAAGTTAGGATTCAAGTCTGAGGTTTTTCATCTTGATGGCCAATCATGGTTAGTTTCAGTTAAATATTTAATTTTTTGGTAAAAGATAAGCTTTTTGATTGTTGTTGTCTTGTTTATGTTGTTTTAAAGAGGGGATTTAATTAGAGAAAAAGAGTGTGAGAATGATAATTATTGCATGGAGTGTCTCATTTGCATTTGGCTTACTCTGACATTTGAGTTTTAATTTCATCAATTTGACAGAATATTTATGCATACTGCTGCGATTGTTTGTTGTGATTTGTAAGACCAAGTTCTGTTACATTCACTGCCTTTTTCAGTGCGTGCCTTTTGAATTGTTGTTTCTCTCAAAATGAATCAGAAATTAGTGAGCCAAACGTGGAATGGAAATATAAATCTAGTTGGAGTGTCTTAAACAAAACAAAACAAAACAAAAGAAGAAGAAGAAAACGTTGTGGGATTGGCAGAGTGGGTTAAATGCAGAAACTGAGCCTCAGATTGTATGTTAGGAGGATCTGCAGACAATGGCGAAGCCAGAAATGTTTCCAAGGGTCTTTAAACTTGAAAGAAGTACAAAAAAAATTCCCGACAAAGGGTGTTCGATATATGTTTTATACATCTAAAATCAATATTTTACTTATATACATAGTGTAATTTTTCGTATTATACTGACCACCCTTAGCAAAAGGTGGACTGCAGAGGATGATAAAAAAAAAGTATATCACCAAAAAAATGAGGATTTTCTATTTTCTCATTTGACGAGAACAGTTGTTGGTCTCTGGTAAATCATTTTTTATGTAATGGAGAAGAACAATAGAGTAAGTTGGATTTTAGGGATGTGCCTCATTTCCTTGTTTTTGACAAATCACTCGTTTATAAGTTCTGAAAAATCTGTTTCTGAATTCTGAATCTGTTATATATATACTTCCAAACCTAGGACTGAGGAAAGCTTAGCTAGCTAACTATGGATATGCATTTAGTAGTAAGAACATTTAATAATAATAATAATAATAATAATAATAATAATAATCCCTTGTTGTACATTTTACAATTGAGAGGTTGGATTAACTCCTGCTTCTTATTGTACCTCGTTTAATGCAGTGGCGTAGCCAGAATTTTTATTAAGGGGTGTCAAAATATAAAGAAGTAAGTACACGAAGAAGTCAAGGGGAGTCAACATATAGTAATATATACATATAAAATAAAAATTACCAAACTACACAGTGTAATTTTCCGGACGAAGGGGTGTCAAGGTGGCTCCGCCACTAGTTCAATGACATATCAAGTCACTGTGTTAACGCTACTACAAGAAAAGTCAATTGTTTTGAACTCATGTATATAGATCATTGCATATTCTTCTTGCTAATCTGTTATTTAAATGAACATGGAGGAGTTTCGATGCTAAGATGGCAGCGAATTTGTAAGCTTCCCATTGGTTCATCCTGCTTTTATGAAAATGGTTATGTTTTAGTCGACTGTTGCAGTTGAAGCCTCTCTCAATAATTATCAGGAAGGATACTTCCTCAAGTCAAGTGTATTGTTTTTTTCTGAAGAAAGCATGCAAAATTGTGGTTTCTTTCGTTTACGGAGTAGATACTGTCTACCAAAATTCTACCTTCAACTTTAGATCAACAAAATGAATTTCAACTCCAACTCTATGAGGTTACACTTATTTTGGAAACGCATTTGGTTCAGCCTGCTATTTGTCGCAAAGAAAGCTTGTAAAATGAGTTTTCCGGGGCTAATCTTTAGTCGGCAGACTAGGAGGCATGGAAAGGTACTCTAGGGACAAGACGGGTAGGGGTTCGCTCTAATTTATGGTTAAGATCCTTCGCATAATTTATAAGACACTACTCTTTAGCATTTTTTCTGTCAGAGCACCCAAGTGTATACAGATTAGACATATATATGTTTAGGTCAGACCAGACAGGCTTTACAACAACAACAACAACAACAACCCAGTATAATCCCACTTAGTGGGGTCTGGGGAGGGTAGTGTGTACGCAGACCTTACCCCTACCCTGCGGTAGAGAGGCTGTTTCCAAATAGACCCCCGGTATCCTTCCCTCCAAGAACTTCCCACCTTGCTCTTGGGGAGACTCGAACTCACAACCTCTCGGTTGGAAGTGGAGGTTGCTTACCATCAGAGCAATCCCTCTTGTCCAAAAACCAGACGGGCTTTGAACTTACAAATTAAGTCCGACCAGGTGCATTGTCATTTACTTGAATTTTATTTTTCCATGGTTTTGAGGGGTGGGGATAAACAGGACTAGTACCAAACTATATACCACTTCTGATGCAGAAAATTTCCGATTATAACATTTTTAAAGATCTATGTTACTAAAAGTGCACAATTATCTTTTTCTTATAAAACCTGTAAGATTTCTCTCATTAGATATTGATACTGGTGGTCGTAACTTATCCAAGAATAATGAAGAAGAAGAAGAAGAAGAAGAAAGAGAAGAGAAAAGATATACGTGGTCGTAACAAAACATTTCTATTGTCCAAATGTCTCATTGAATCATGCTTTTCTGATTTTTTTTTCTCTTGATCTGTTCTGAGTTTGAATGTCATAATGCAGGATCTGCTCTACAGGACTTCCGAGTGATGTTGTTGTTGAAGTTGGAGACACATCCTTTCATCTACATAAGGTACACCTTAACAGATTACACTAGACAGCCATTCACTTTGCTGGAATTGCCCCGAAATTTTTGTTTTTTATATCATGGGATTTAGAAGCAAAGTGAATACCCTGCTCGAAATAAAGAACGATATGCATGTGATGTTTCAATTGTACCATACCATTCTTAGAAGTAAGGCTTTGAGAAAATTAGAAGTGTGGCATTTCTTGTTGTTGGGTGCTTTCTCTCTGTACATTTTCTTAAGTGCTGCAGTTTCATAACAAACTCAATCTGCAATAACTGACACAAAAGTCCTTACTCCATCTAACTTTCTTTCTAGTCAAGGCGCTGTCTCAAAGGCATTAGTCTCAGGCATTAATCTGCTTGCTTAAGTAGAATTGACATTGATCCGAGTTTCCTTCCTTTGGCACTTTCATATATATGCTTATGCACCAAGTGCTAGAGAATATCTAATATCTATATGCATATGCAATTACTATACCATGTTCATGCATTTTATTTAACCTTGTGATGAAACCATAACCTGTAGAGTTAAATCAGATATCATCTTAATCTCGGCTTTTTCTCATTTGACAATGTATTATCCACTAATTCTGACGAGATGAATTTCATTGCAGTTTCCCTTGTTGTCTAGAAGCAGGCTCTTAGAGAAGCTTATACAAGATTCTTCTGAACAGGAGAAGAATGAGAAACTTTGTGTTTTGCATCTTCACGGGATACCTGGTAGAGCAAAAGCATTCTTGAAAGTCGCCAAGTTCTGTTATGGCGTCAAGATGGAACTCACAGCGCGCAATGTTGTCAGCCTTAGATGTGCAGCCGAATATCTTCAGATGAATGAAGATTATGGAGAAGGAAACCTCATTGCACAGACAGAGAGTTTTCTCATTGAAGTTTTTGGTTTTTGGACGGACACTTTTAAAGCCTTAGAGACATGCGAAGATGTTCTTCCATGGGCGGAAGAGCTTCACATTGTCTCAAGGTGCATAGATTCCCTGTCAACGAAAGCGTGTGCTGACCCAACTTTACTAAGTTGGCCTGTGGCTGGTCAGAGCCAAGATGATGCTTTTGCTTGGAATGGAATACATGCAAGTGGTGCGGCTTCTAAACAATGTCCGCTGAATGAGGACTGGTGGTATGAAGATGTGTCCTTCCTTAAACAGCATATTTATAGAAAACTAATCCTTGCTGTTAGTGCTAGGGGCATGACACCGGAGAGAATCGCTGGTTCCCTAATTTTCTATGCTAAGAAACACCTTCCTCTTAACGGTAGGCAATCAAATTTCCAGAAACACAATGGTGCAGTTCCAGGATCAACCCTTCCTGCTGCATCTGATGCAGATCAAAGGACTCTTCTTGAAGAGATTGTGGCGTTACTACCCGAGCAAAAGGGCTTCATACCTACCAAGTTTCTGCTTAGGCTTCTTAAAACATCAATGATCCTAGATGCTAGTAAATCATCCCGAGAGAATCTGGAGAGAAGGGTTGGGGCTCAGTTAGATGAAGCAGCTTTAGAAGATATTCTCATACCAAATATGGGCCACACTGTGGAGACCCTATATGATATAGACTGCATTCAGCGAATGGTTGATCACTTCATGATGGCTGATCAGGACGAAATTGAACCTACCTCCAATGAACTGATAAATGAAGGCCAGTTAGTTGGAGGATCGCACTCACTAGCCCCGCTGACAATTGTAGCTAATCTTGTAGACGGCTACCTCGCAGAAGTGGCGCCTGATACTAACTTGAAGTTAACTAAATTTAACGCGCTAGCTTCAGCAATCCCAGGGTATGCCAGACCATTGGATGATGGTATCTACCGTGCAATTGACATATACCTCAAGGTAATTGGATTATGGAAATATACTCCTTAAAGATTAATTGCTTTAAGGATTACCATTTATCATTTCCAAACCAATGAATGTAGAGCCAGCCTAAAGTTATCACCAAGTTGTAGTCTTTGTTAAGATGTTGTGCTGTTTAAGTAATTTCAGGCACATTCCTGGCTGACGGGGTCGGAGAGGGAACAACTTTGCAGGGTCATGAACTGCCAGAAGCTGTCCTTAGAAGCAAGTACTCATGCAGCACAGAACGAAAGACTACCTCTACGAGTTATTGTCCAAGTTCTATTCTTTGAGCAACTCCGGCTCCGCACTTCTGTGGCTGGTTGGCTCTTTGTCTCAGACAACCTTGACAATTCACAAAGCCTGAGTGGTAATTTAGTCATTGAAGGCACCAGGGCGGACCAACTTGTGACATTTGATGACATGAGAGATCGAGTTCGTTCACTTGAGAAAGAGTGCTTGAACATGAAAGAAGAC